TTGGGTTTTGCACCGATTAGACCGTCGATTTGCTACAGTGAGACGGTTTAATAATGGTTCAAAGCTGTCCAACGTTAAATCTTGATTTTTTACTCCTTTTGAACTATTAATCTCACCGAAACCCGGTCAGACCGGTTCGACCTCCCGGTCCGATCCGGTCCGGGTTTCAGAACATTGCTTACCAAAACCTGATTTCTTCATAATGTTTTATTTGTTCCAGCTTTCCAATTTAGCCTTATTTCTGTTTCCAAAATTTGTCAAGATAATAGTTTTTGTTTGAAATTCTTTCCTAACATGTGTGAATTTCAAGACCCTTTGACTGGAAACTTATGGGCTTGGATAAGGTCCATAATGGTCTTTACTACTGGATCATTGATTCTGTGGGAAATTCTCCAAATTTTCTATCTTGTATTACAAATAATGAATTTTTTGATTGTAATACAAATCTCAATAAAAGTTCCTTAATTTTACCCCAAAGACTGGGTCATAGTTCATCTATTCCATAACCCTATTGTCTGGTTTGTCCTCTTACAAAGCAATCTCAAACCATTTTTCTGCTCAGCACATCACACACGTCTCGCCCTTTTTCCCTAGTTCATATTTGGGGAACTATCACACTCCTAACCATGATGGTTTTCGTTTCTTCCTTATTATAGTTGACGATTTTTCCTGAGGGACTTGGGCTTATCTCCTAAATTCAAAAACCCAAACACTTACCAAAATTAGGGCATATATCTCCATGGTTAAAACACAATTCAATCTATCTGCTCAACGAATTCAAACGGATAATGCCCATGATTTCTTGAATCACCACTGCTTTTTATACTTTTCAACTCTTGGCATTATCCATGAAAGTTCATGTGTTTACACCCCTCAACCGAATGGTATAGTTGAACGGAAACAGAGGCACCTCTTAGAAGTAGCCAAGGCCCTCAAACACCAAACCAACATACCTGTTTCATTTTAGGGTGAATGTGTGGTCATAATTACTTACATGATTAATAAGATGCCTATTAGAGTTCTTAATGGTAAGACAACTCATGAACTTCTCTTTGGTAAGCCCCCTAACATCATCCATCTTAGAGTTTTTGGTTGTTTATGCTATGCTACTAACCTTGGGGCTTATGACAAGTTTGGATCCCAGCCACTCGCTGTGTTTTTATGGGATATCCGATGCATCAGAAAGGGTATCAACTATATGATCCGGCTGAAAACAAGTTCATGGTTTCCAGAGATGTGGTTTTTCATGAAATTGTCTTTCCTTTTTGAGACAGTATTGACCACTCCAGTATTGATCCTCGACAGACACATCCTTTCTTGGAAGATGATCCTTCTCCACCAGAGCCTCTTTTCACTATCCCTCTTATCATTGATATAGGCCACTCTCCAACAGCTACAAACTCTACCCCTGTTTCCACAAAAGCTTTAATAGAGTCTTCTCCATCAGTTGACTTATCATCCTCACAACCCAACAGTCCTACTGCTCATCCTGAACCTGCTCCACGACGGTCTACCTAATCCACCAGACCAACCATTTAGACAGGTGATTATATCTATCATACGGTCCAGACTACCTCAAGTACTCTTTATCCTACTTCCACTTATGTTAGCTATGGCATTCTCTCCTCTACACAAAAGATCTGTGTCAGTTAGATATCTACAGTTCAGGAACCCTTTTGTTTCCGATGTTGTCCCACATGCACAATGGCAGCAAGCTATGGTAGATGAACTTAATGGTCTGGCTCAAAATCATACTTGGGACATTGTACCTCAGCCTCTTCACTGGAAACCTATTGGATGCAAATGGGTTTACAAAATCAAGCACCGTGCTGATGGAACAATTGAATGTTACAAAGCCTGCCTTATTGCAAAAGGCTTATGATAAGTCGCATAAATTTAGTGTTTTTAGGTTTATTTTTATACTCGTTTAGTTAATTTCTTATTTGTTTTCTTTGTTTTGATTTTATTTTTTGTTAAGTTTAAGATGTGAATGGTCAGCTATTGATTAGAAGATTTTTTTGATTTTTGGCTTTAATTGAGTAGATTAGAGCATTGGAATGAAATTAGGATTTAAAGCTTGAAGAAATTGAGATTAGCTAACATTTTTTAAGGCCATGGCCATGCCTTGGTGGTTCACCATGACCACGGTGGTGGAATGAAGATATAACATTGAGGACAAAAAGAACCATGGCTCGGGCCGTGGTTAAGTAAATTTGGACACGACCAGGGTCGTGTATGACACTTTTAGGTTTTTTTTTTCAGTTTTTCTTTCGTTTTTTGCTTAGGACTCTTTTAGGTATTTAAGTGTGGTTGAGATTAATTGTTAGGGGTTGAATTTTGCATATTTTGGAGAGATTATTTTTGTAACAAAGAAAAAAGAGAATCAAGAACAAAACTCATCACGAAGGAGTGTAGAGTTTGTCTTTACCTTTTCAATATGATTTATTTCTTGAATTTTGCTCTTATTTATTTTATTATGAGCTAATTTTCTCGAGCTAAGACTAGGGCTAGTCTATTTATGGATATGTAATCAATCTTTTGCTCTATGGTTATTGAATTATTTTTCTAATGGTGAGCTTATATTATGTTCTTAAAGCTATTAGGAACCTGATCAATTTCTGATAGAACTGTTTTGTGTGATTGAGACCGAGAGGAGATATCACATGAGTGCTCTAGTAATATAGGCCATGGATTAATTGGATATAGAGATATGTGAATTGATACATGCAATAATCATAGGCATGATTAACTTGTGCTGAAAGCTAGAGGATTTCATAAAGCTTAATGTTCATTTGTTTCCTTAAATCTACATAGAGATATCTAGGTTTTGAGATAGAAGTAGAATCAATATTGCTTGAGAAAGAATATTGGTTAACCTAGGAAATTCTGTTGCCACATTAATTAAATAAATTCCTTGACAAATTGATGGGTGCAAAGAAGTTATAGATGAACTTGAAGTCTTAGCAGTTTTCTCTCATTGAATTCTTAAGTTTAGTTTTCTTGCAATTGTTCATTTCTAATATTTTAGCTTTTAATACTTTTAGTTTTAAAGATCACCATTCTAAGATTTGATTATCTAGATAAAGTTAAGATTAATTAACATTTTTGTACTTGTCTACGCAATACCTTGGGTACGATAACTTATGCTTTCCTACACTATATTACTTGAGACTAGTGCACTTCCTAGTAGTTGTCACTCAACGAGAAGGGTTTGACTACCAAGAAACCTTTTCTCTGGTTGCCAAACATGTTACAATTCAAGCTTTTCTATATATTGCTGCCATCCGAGATTAGTCCCTACATCAGATGGATGTTCATAATGCTTTCCTCCATGGCAACCTTCATGAGGAAATTTACATGGACCTACCACCATGACTTCGCCACCAGGGGGAGAATTCCGTATGCCACCTGTGTAAGTCCCTTTATGGTTTGAAGCAAGCATCAAGCCAATGGAATGAAAATTTCACAGAGGCACTTACAGGCATAAGATTTGTACAATCCAAACATGATTATGCCCTTTTCACATGGCATAAAGGTACATCCTTCATTGCTTTATTCATTTATATAGATGACAACCTAATCATAGGAAATGATGAACCCACCATCCGAGCTCTAAAGGAACATCTCAGTGGACACTTCCGTATAAAGGATTTGGGGGAGCCAAAATATTTCTTGGGGATTGAGATTGCAAGATCTCCAATAGGCATATCTCTTAGCCAAAGAAAGTATGTTCTCGAGCTCTGGAATATCTGCATGTAAACCAAGTCTGATTCCTGTGGAACAAACCAAGCTCACAAGTCAACAGTATGATGAAGAAGCAATAGCTTCAGAAATGGATCCTTTATTAAAAGATCCAACCTTCTATCAGAGACTTGTGGGAAGACTCATCTATTTCACCATTGCACGGCCAGATATAAGTTATGTTGTCCATATCCTAAGCCAATTCATGCATGGACCAAAAGAATCTCATATGGAAGCAACAATTAAAGTGCTCAAATATTTGAAAAGCAGCCTGGGCTTAGGACTCCTTTTACCAAGAGATGGGAACCTAGATAAGGACTCCTTTTACCAAGAGATGGGAACCTAGATATCACTACTTTTTGTGACTCAGGAGTGGGGTACATGTCCAATGACCAGGAAATCACTCACTGGTTATTGTGTAAAACTTTGGGGATCCCTGATTTCCTAGAAGACAAAGAAACAGTCAATAGTGTCATTATCTTCATTAGAGGCTAAGTATAGAGCTATGGCGAAAACCACATGTGAGATAGTCTATATTCTTGGGTTGCTAAAGGATTTGGAGATACAAACAAGAAAACCTGTCACTTTATACTATAGTAACAAAGTTGCCAATAACATCACGACAAATCCTATATTCTATGAAAGGACAAAGCATATAGAGATTGATTGCCATATTGTCCGAGACAAGATATAAGAAGGGATCATCAAGATCATGCACATTCGAACTTCAGAGCAACTAGCAGACATTTTCACAAAGCCATTGTGCAGTCGACAACATTCATATTTGCTTCACAAGCTTGGGGTTTTTAGAATCTACAAACCACTAGCTTGAGGGAAATGATGCAATATGGAATGATTGCTGGAATCATGCATCCTGAAATCATGTTCATCATAGATAATAAGTAGAAACATCAGTAATTGATTTTATTACGATAAATTGTAATTACAACTTTGATCATATTTCCTTAGTTTGTTGATTTTCACTTGTATGAATACATGACTGTAATACAATGAAAGATATACAACTATACATATTCAATTGAGTCTTCTTCTTCTATTCTGGCATTCTTTAGCAACATAGTTTGCTTCTTTTGCCCTTCTTGCTTAGATTCTGACAAAAATTCTAAACCAAATTCCATCTCTCCTACAAAAGAGCAAAGCAATTCATCACTCAGAACATTTTTAAAGTCTTACACACAGTGGTAAAAATAAACAAGCAGCCATTTTACACAGTCAACCTCTCTTAATTAATTCTCACATTAAACTGGCATATCAATGAAGTCCTTGGAAAGGTACAAATTAATGATCAAGAAATAGCTACAAGCAATGACAGAACAAACTGCTTGTATGAAGGTGAGAACAAGAAGAATTACAGCTGCAATGACAGAGATAGAAGCCCATGGAGTGTTGAAATAATTTTGTTTCAAGGCCGTCTTCCACTTGTTCCACGGGGTTCTGCTGTAGACGTTTAGTTGTACAACAAGAGCCGTATAGTTAAACAACCGAGGGTCTATATAACTCTCTTGGCCAAGCTTCTGAAAAACATCTGTCCTTCCTTCTCTATCCCAGACATATTCTTCAATAACTCCATTTTGAATGAGTATTTCCTGATCTTTTCGGGTGCGTACAAGGTGATTCATGATTACAATGTAGTCATTCAAATATCTGGTACTGAAATTTAATTGCTCATAAGCTAGGAGATTCACGAACAAGCTTTCCGTATCAGAAACTATGAGCAATGTTGGAATTTCCAGAATCCCATTTTTGAATCTGATATCAAAAAAATGTTTGCTTGAACCAACCTTAAACTTGACCCCAGCTTGCTCAAGTTCTGTTATAGTAGGTGTAGTTACAGTTTTGAGTTCATTTTCTGAGTAAAACTCTGGTGGTTGAAGACAAAGTCTCAACCAATCGAGTAAGTGCTTCGCTTTAGAAAAACAGTTTTCGAGCAAATTTTCTTCTATCTTCACTAGATAGTAACCAACTATATTTATCATCATATTACGGATTAGTTTGCGCAGGGAAAGATCATCAGACATTCCGTTCATGGGCATGGCTAGCTCAAACAAGCCCTTAAGCATGAACATTGGAAGTTGATTTTCTAGCTGATATATGTCAGGCCATATATCAATAGCGATGGAAGAAGATATCTCTGCCAACTGCTCTCTACTGGAGATCCTGTTGCCCTTTAGTAAAAATTCAATGACAAAGGCTGCATCAAGTAATATCATTTCTACAAACTCATTACTTTCTATACTAATGGTTTCTGCATAACATTCACGCAGTTCTACTTCTTTATCCTTTACATATAAAAGAAAATCCATAGTACTTTTCTCTGTTAGTTTAAGGAAATCTTGTAAAAATACCAGTTTTAGCTCTTCCGTGGCCATTAGTTCCTTTTTGCCATGGTGAAATGGACCGATGGAAACTGCCCGAGGAGTGCATGCGCTTTCGTTTAACTGTCGGATTCGTTGAGGAATTCTATAAATGCAACAGTTTCCGGACGAAGGATGCAAGGTGCTAAGCTTCCCATTCAATGTATCCGCCAGGTTCTTGATATCAATTGATGCATGCTCCCTTTTCTCCATCATTGCTTTCTCTATCCACTACCAATTGTCAATGAAGAAAGAAATTAAAAATCTATTGATTTTCAAACTGTCATACACACAAAATTGATGAAATTAACATTCCTTTCAATATGATAAAAGCTCATGACAAGAAGCAGAACTTACCTGCGGATGACCAACTTAAGGAAACAGATTCAAGAAACTTAAAGACCGAGGGGAAAAGACCTTGAGATTTGAGCTCTGCAGTTAGCTAAATCACACTGAATTGTATAACCAGAAACTTGCGAATTTATTCTTAAATGGAATTCTTCTCATCATGGCGTAAACCATGATTAAAATAAAGTTTTGGGTTGGCTTTATTCTAAAGCCTTACTATTACCGGTCAAAAGAAATATCCATCTTTCTTTCTTTCTTTCAACACAAAAGCATACACAATCTTGACCAATCAATGACAAAGTTGATTGCACAGAATAAAAGGCTATGAATAAATAGTAATAACACTACACAAAATACTCAAATAATAATATGGTTAATCAACATGATAAATAGACAATATTCCGAATCATAATCTATTTAAGAAAATTGACATATAGCATTGAGTATGCATATGCAAACAAGTGTAAATTAAAGCTGACTCCTCTGCTTTTTCCTCGGTGGCTCAACTTCGTTTGTCCTGAGGTACTAAACTCTAATCTTTAATAATACTATCTTCCTCTAGAATATGTATTCGACTTCTCTTTGCAATCCAAGATCCGGGTTCAAAGTTTTTTATTAGATTGTGAAACACGTTTTAATCTTATCAGTTATGGATGTAGATAAGATTTGGTGGAACATAACTCATAGATGCTAAGCTTTTGATTAAAAAAAAGAAAAAAAAAAAAAAAAATCCCCATTTCAATTTACATCACCCTTACCTATGAGGGCTTAACCGAATGGTCAGGTTTATGGATTGTTTTTACAGGGTTTGGGGTTTGAACCCTCTCATGGGCACCTATATGGCCAAAAGCCATATTTAACCACATCCCAATGATGAAAAAAAAATTTGCATCGCCCTTACCCATTTGGTCTATGGTTCCATTGATGCCTCTTCTTTGTTAAGGGAAATGATGTTTTAGTTGATCAAATTATTTTTATTTATATATGTAGTTTTGCTAGATTGTTCGTTATTTTACCAATTTTATACCTTGTAATTTGAAAATGTTAAGGGGAATCTCAGTTGTCTCAGAATCCGAATAAGTATGTTCTTCTATTTGTCAAAAAAGGAAGTTGATGTATGAACAATTGTGATTAGGTTTTCAATTGGCTTCAGTGTGTGCTGCAATTATGATGGATGTTACAATATCATAAAGAACAATAAGCAGGTTGTGTAAATATGACTATAAGTTCAATTGCATCGCATTTTTTTACATAAATCATAACACAAGTTTTAAGACATTAGATATAAGCACTATGGATGGTTAAGATTCAAACAATTTGCAAATTTAATGCAATTTGAAAATGACACATAATTTCAATCTAATCGGAGCCATTCAAATGTTTTAATCTAATTGTGTAAAAAATATGTCAAAAATTGTGTGAAAAAATATGGAGCCTTGAACCTAAACCTATAAATATTAAAAGAGAAAATTATTTATACTCTATTAATTAAATCATTTTAAATTATAGATACCAAGTTCTTAAATTAAGAAATTGGGTATCCATAGAATCTTCAAATTTTGATTGGATATTTATGTGAGTGGCAATATTAATGCATTAAAAGATAAAGCTAATGCATAATATAAAATATGTTTAAGGTGAAATAATAATCTACAAGTTACCCTCTCAATGGACAAGCATGGAGTTAAAAGGAATCAAGGAAAACCAAGATGTAGTAACTCGTTAATTTGATTTTCTTTTGTAACGAAGTTAAAGAATATAGATCTAAATATATATTCTTTTCCTATTGTTTTATCTTGGTAAGAAGATTTATCGTGGACAAATGAGTCAATAAAACAAACAATTGCTAAGGAATTTTTTGTTTTACTTAGGTATTGTCATTCACGTAAATACCCCATCCAATTTGAGGATCTTTGTGAGTGAGTACCGATTTCCCAATTCAAAATTTAGTATTTTAATTTAAGAGCTTTTTATGGTAAACCTCGTGAATTTAACCTTTTTCCAACGAGTACTGGTTGGTTTTGAAAATGTAACCTTAACCCCTATGTGTTTGACCCTTTTTTTTTGTAATGAGCAACTGCTAGTTTTGGAATTGCAATCCTAACTACTGTGATGTTTGGCTTTTTTTTTTTTTTTTTGGGTAGTGAATAGTAGCTGGTTTAAAAAATATCATCAATCTAAGCTTAAAATTAATCAACGATTTTATCAATTTAACTTTAAAAAAAGTATATATTAATTAACCTCTCAACATTGTTGGTTACCAAACAAATGTTTTTTTTTTTTTTTTTTTTTTTTAAAAAACACTTAATTTAATGCTTTTATAAAAGAGTAAAAGACATTTACCCACCCAAGGTTTGACAAATCTATAAGTTTCCATCTATGGTTTCATAAATTGTAAATTCCCGCCCAATTTTAAACTCTGTTAAGGTAAATTTTACTTTAATAGGTTTGACTAATCAAATACCATTTTTACCACTTATTATAATAATGAGTAAATTAATAAATTACTTTCCAACCCTCAAATTAATAGCAAACTAACCACATTCCTTTCAAATGATTTCAATAACACCCTTTTCTTCAGCCTTCCTCTTCTTTGCGGCCGTCATATCTCGACAACCAAATTTGGTTGCGGGGATATTCTCCACCTCTTTCTTTCTTCTCTCTCTCTCTCCCCCCTTATCTCTTCTCCACCTCTCTCTCTCTCTCTCTCTCTCTCTCTCTCCGCAGTAGCCAGATTTGGTTGTCGTGGCCTCTTTCTCTGTTCTCTTTTCTCTCTGCTTTGGATTAGTGGATCAAATTATTTCAATTTGTATCTGTGATCTTGCTAGAGGATTGTTTGTTGTTTTGCCAATTTTACAGGGATAAATTGCTCACATAAAGAGTCAATAGGGTATAAAACAAGTTTTTGAGCGAAAAACCCTTATTAGTAGAAACACTTCTTGAGCTTGTAACAGGGCAAATATTAGGGGAATCAGGGGTTTCAAAATCTGATTAAATATGTACTTTATTGTTAGAAACACTTTCTGCATTGTATTGGTTCTCTAATAAAGAAACTTTATTGTAACTCATGCTTTAATAGTGGAAGTTTTGTATGGGTGCTTTACTATCACTTCGTGGTTTTTCCTTTCGCCTTGAAAGATTTTTTATGTTAAAAATTTGGCTTTTGATCTAGTTATGGTTGTCTTGTTTAATTTGCTTATTTGATTGGTGGTATATTACTTGGTTTGGTTTGAGATATGAACCCACTCCAATGCCTTCAAACCACAATAAGCCAACAACAACCACAACAATCAAGAACCTAGAAAATAACAAGAACACATAAAAACTCAGGAAAATAGAAATTATATATATATAGGATCAAACATTAAACCAGATATGAACAGCCGAAGCTCACCAACCAATTCAATGAAAATAAAGATAACAGAACAAAGAAAATTAACTAAGGCCTGCTAGACTTCGAGGGCCAACACCTCCTCTAAATTTTGCTTTTTACTTTTCTAGATGTCCTTTCATTATTCCCGGTCACTCCCTTTTATTCCATTGATCTCTCTCACCATATCATAATCCCCCATTCATCCATTCTCCTAATGCCATATGTCCCTCAAACAACCTTAACATCACCCGCACAACAGATTTTTCTTGCCTGCCGAGCTACCCACAAATCAGGGCTATAGTCGAACCGAGTAGTTCATGAGCTACTCGGGCTCGACTCGTCAGGATCGCAGGCTCGGTTCATAATGAGTCAAGTTGTTCGCGAGTTCGAGCTTGCTTTCAAGCTCCCGAAAGGTGTCAAGCTTTTCAGGGCTCAATTCGAAAAGCTCGCGATCTTCGAGTTGCTCACGATGTCATTCGAGTAAGCAGAGCTCGATCGATCAATTTGGCTAGCATAATATCATATTTTCCCTAAAATCTGCCACAACTACACTCGACCGCAAAATCCCTAAAAGCTAAAATAGAGACATTTTCCCTTCAAGCTTATTTCACCTCCGCCACCATCATCTTCACTTCTTCACGCCGCAAGTTTGAGACGTCACCCTCCATTGAGCAACTACCTACCGTCGCCCACCCTTTATTGAGCTTGGGTTAATCACAGCACAAGGTCCGAGACGCCACCGTTGTCCAGCCTTCATCTAGCCTTCATTCAGCTACCGTCGTCCAGCCACCAACCTTCATTTACCCATCAATCGAAGCTGCTGCAAGTTTGAATCTGACAACGAAGCTACTACAAACTCAGATTCTCACGCCACTGTTGTTCAGCTACTGCCTACCACCGTCCACCCTTCATTGAGCTTGGGTTCTTGAATCTTGACACCGCAAACTCAGGCCAGCTTCCATTTTTTAATTACTTACTTTGTTTGTGAGATTGTGTCTGCTGCAATTGAATCCAGTGCAGATCAAGTTTTGCTTCTATTATTATGAATGTTATACATGTTTTAAAAGGTCCCGCCAGACTTGAATTTGGATCTATGGGAACTAATTTCTACTTGTTTACTGTAACATGTGCTCCTCTAGAAGTACAAGGAGCAGCCATTATTGAAAGAAACTATAGTACATATTGAAATGTGAAGGACCAAAACTATAGTTTTTGAAACCATTATCCTTAAACGGTAGTAAACTAAAACCACAGTGACTATAATTAAACCATAGTGACTATAATTAAACCATAGTGACTATAGTTTTTGTTGTAGAATTTTTAGAGTTGAGTTGTTTTAGACTTGGTGAAAATTAGTCATCAATGTATCCTTTTTTAGGTTATCTCACTTGAAAAATCCCCATAACACTTTGACTTGTTTTTTCTTATTATATCTATATATATATGAATGTCCCTGTGAATTCATTAATATCGTAGTTTATATTCTTTTTGC